TTTTAAATACAAGACTTATAGCCTTTTTAACACAACATGGGAAAACTAACAACAGACAACATGGATTTATGCCCAATCGAAATACCCTAACTGCAATAGCTATAATAACGGAAATAATTGCAATAGAAAAAAGCAAGGGTAACCAGATCAATATAATTTTAAGGGATGTTTCTAAGGCCTTTGATAAGGTTTGGCATTTAGGCTTAAAATATAAAATATTAAAACTGGGACTTAACGAATACTTGCTAAGAATATTGTGTAACTATTTAGATGATAGGAGAGCACAAATTCAAATTGGAAACTTTATGGGAACTATGTTTAATCTTGAGAGTGGAGTACCTCAAGGAGGATGCCTTTCTCCAACACTATATACAATTTATACTTCAGACACACCTCAACCTACCCCCTTTAGCGAATATGTAATGTTTGCTGATGATATTACTCAAATAGTATCATGCCCAGGAAAATCAACTCAATTTATGGCACTCTACACGGTAAGAGCGATAAAAAACATAAATGATTTTGAGAAAAAATGGAAAATTAGGACAAATAAGAACAAATTCAAGATAATACCAATAGCCAAGATTAAAACAAGTCCAGCAATAGTCGACCAGGAACTATACCCATACGACTCTGAAGGCAGGATGCTTGGATTAAAACTAACAAAAAGAGGATATATAACATACTTAAAAGATAAAGAACGACAGGCAAGAATAAGATTATCAAAAATAAAACGCTTTAAGAACCTTAGCATTAATAACAAAAGAAAGATTTATATTGCCCTTGTCAAATCAATTATGGACTACCCACCCATCCCATTGAACACCCTTAGTAAAACGAGCATTAAAAGGTTACAAACAGTACAAAATATAGCCCTCAGATTTATATATAACATAAAATATACAGACCACATCAATAATGAACAGCTACACAAGAGAGCAAACCTCTTAGCAATCAATGTAGAAATACACAACAAAGCTGCAAATATTTGGAAAAAAGTGACTGAACTTAACACAGAAACATATCAGAACTGGATAAATAATATAGACAACGAAGAATTCCAAGAACACAGTTGGTTTAAATCAGCCAGGAAGAAAGTAATTGAACCATCTCCTGCCCCAATATACACATATACACATAAAACAGTAATAGAGAAAATAAAAGATGAGCGTGACCTACCAGCTCCACTAAGAACCTGGCAGGCCTCTCCATACAGTGTACCTTTAGACTAACATAACTAACATTTAACATTTAACTAACATCTTAGAAAAAAACAAATGTGACTACCCTCCCAGCTACACAAGGACCTGGGCGGGCTCACTAACTCCATCGGAAAAAAAAATAATAATAATAATGTGATTACCCTCCCAGCTACATCAGCCAGGAAGAAGTAATTGAACCACCTCCTGCCCCAATATACACATATACACATAAAACATTAATAGAGAAAATAAAAGATGAGAGTGACCTACCAGCTCCACTAAGAACCTGGCAGGCCTCTCCATACAGTGTACCTTTAGACTAACACAACTAACACTTAACTAACACCTCAGAAAAAAAAAATGTGACTACCCTCCCAGTTACACAAGGACCTGGGCGGGCTCACTAACTCCAACAATAATAAAAATAATAATAATAAGCAGCATTATATAAATAAACCAATATTAATACAAAGGTCTGACGACCCAAGGGAGCAGAACAAAGATAAAACACCAATAAGAAAGATGAAGCGATCTGGTTGAGCCCAGATTCTTTCTACTTAAGCTGTATTTCAGTTTCACCACTTTTCCCTCAACCCCTAATAATCTTCTTTCACCTCTTAACTAAAGACTTCGTACTCGTACAGTACTCGATCGCTCTCTTTCTACCTACACCAACCAGCCCGCAACACCTCCTCCTCCTCCGCCTGCCTGGTGGTCCTCGCTCCCGCCGGCGAGCATGGTGACCCACAAGCTGTCCTCTGAGCACCCTCACCAACCAGCTCTCTCTACATCACGCTTGTAACCATGCTGCCTTCCCAGCACCAAGCTGCATTGTACATCCAATACAACATGTATATAGAGAGCACATTGTGAGTTTCCTTTCTCCATCCCATCCTGAGTGAACACCAAACATCCCATTACCCCACAAATGGTGACCCCCGGAGATTCGCACTCACACAGGATGGAGGAGAAACCGATCACTCTCCCAGTCTTCAAGCAACATGGAAAACTGGCTTATCCACACAGAAGCAGCTCTCATCGGCTCTACAACTACTGTCTCTACACCGCAGGTTAGACACCCTAGAGCAGCACTGCTTCTCTAAGCAGACACCAGCTCCTCTTCCTGTCCCAAGCACCACGTTCTACCGACCCCAGCACACCCGTCCTGCCTCCGACGCCGCCCCCGGCCCAGCAGTACCCCCTGCAGCTCATCTTGATGCAGCCCCTGCTCCTGACGCGGACCCACAAACACCTCTTTTCTCCCTCAGGTACTCCCTGCTTATGTCCTGCACCCTGCTGCTGTCGTGGACCCAGCTGCTGTCACGAGCCCTCATCCGCTTCTGCTGACGCAGCCCCTGCTCCTGACCCAGGCCCATACACCCCAGCAGGCGCATCTGACGACTCTGTACCTGCCGTGAGGGAAACACATGCACCGCCCGTCCTGCCTCAGACGCCGCCCCGGCCCAGCAGTACCGCCTGCCGCTTCTCCTAACGCGGCCCCTGCTCCTGAGTGCGGACCCACACACAACTCTTTTCTCCCTCAGGTACTGCCTGCTAATGTCCTGTACCCTGCTGCTGTCGTGGACCCAGCTGCTGTCACGAGCCCTCATCCGCTTCTGCTTACGCAGCCCCTGCTCCTGACCCAGGCCCATACACCCCAGCAGGCGCATCTGACGACTCTGTACCTGCCATGAGGGAAGAACAACATTCAGCGCCTCCACACACCCGTTTTCTCCCTCTCTACTCCCACAGATATTGTGTATCTAGACAGTTGTCTCTAGCGGCCGGCTCATTCACGCCATTGCCGTTGTCTTACATGAGGCATGCACCGCCCGTTCTGCCTCACATGTGCTATGCAACCCTGCAGACAACAAGTCTCCTACACCGCCTGGAGGGAAGAAGGGAGTATTGTAGTGGATTTCTCCCCTACAAACGCTGTTTTCGCTGAGTAGCCGACCCCGCGAATTCCACAGTGTGTGCCTCGTGGTCTAGGTCAACCAGCGCCGCCCACGGAGCGGGGGTCAACTATCTACCCACGCCTACCTCCGCTATTTAAGACCTGACCTCGTGGTGATCGCTCTCTTTCTACCTACACCAACCAGCCAGCAACACCTCCTCCTCCTCCTCCTCCTCCTCCTCCTCCGCCTGCCTGGCGGTCCTCGCTCCCGCCGGCGAGCATGGCGACCCACAAGCTGTCCTCCTTTGAGCACCCTCACCAACCAGCTCTCTCTACATCACGCTTGTAACCATGCTGCCTTCCCAGCACTAAGCTGCATTGTACATCCAATACAACATGTATATAGAGAGCACATTGTGAGTTTCCTTTCTCCAACCCATCCTGAGTGTGAACACAAACAACCCATAAGCCCCACAGTGTCACCAGCCATCGTACAGGAGGTACACAATAAGAGTAGGTATTGAAGAAGTACAATCTATCAGCGTGTTTATGGATCTTTGCTGCTGTGTTTGGGACTTTAATCTCTGGTTTATTTATCCTCTGTCACCTGTGTGTCTCTGAGTCAACTGCTGCTGGTGAGGCCCGGTCCAAGACAAAAGTCGTGTAGTGAAATCTAGTGAAAACATATGCCGAAGGGCTAAACTTTCTGTGCGCTCTGCCTTGTAGTAGGGCTCTCATAATGTTTCACGAGTTATATTTAATCTTCGGACAAAACCGTGACATGACTTTTGTCTTTGATTGTACAGTGTCAAGAAATTACCCTCATCTCACTGAATATTTTCCTCCCATTTTCCGATGTTTTACTTTCTGTTTTCATGAGACTTGTCCTATGTGTGTCCTCATAATTAGGACATCAAGCAGAGAAAACTTCACACTTCAATGCAACACAGAGTTTGTGAGGCCTTCGAGCCGACACTGAAGGTCACTTAAGGATACAGGGTTGGTTATACATACTTGAAACCCCCCCCCCCACACACACACCAGACACGGGAAGATTCAATTAATTTGACAAACTCTTGAGGTAAGAACAGAGGTACAGTCCCTTCTCAGAGTCTTACGTCAGCATCCACTCGTTTATGAATCTATAAGTAAAGGTGTTTTAATGGCTGTGTTAACGAAACAGTAAACCTGCCATCATGTGATCCTCTCTCTCGTCTCGTAATCCTCTCTCTAGCCTGATGATCCTCTCTCTACTCTCGTGATCCTCTCTCTACTCTTGTGATCCTCTCTCTACTCTCGTGACCCTCTCTCTATTCTCGTGATCCTCTCTCTACTCTCGTGATCCTCTCTCTACTCTTGTGATCCTCTCTCTACTCTCGTGATCCTCTCTCTATTCTCGTGATCCTCTCTCTACTCTCGTGATAATCTCTCTACTCTTGTGATCCTCTCTCTACTCTTGTGATCCTCTCTCTACTCTTGTGATCCTCTCTACTCCCAGGATCTCTCTCTGTTATCGTGATCCTCTCTCTACTCGTGTGATCCTCTCACTACTCTTGTGATCCTCTCTACTCCTGTGATCTCTCTCTATTATCGTGATCCTCTCTCTACTCTCGTGATCCTCTCTCTAATCTTGTGATCCTCTCTCTATTATCGTGATCCTCTCTCTACTCTCGTGATCCTCTCTCTACTCTCGTGATCCTTTCTCTACTCTCGTGATCCTCTCTCAACTCTTGCGATCCTCTCTCAACTCTTGTGATCCTCTCTCTTGTGATGCTCTACTCTTGTAATCCACTCTCTAGTCTTTGTGATCCTCTCTCTACTCACGTGATCCTCTCTCTAGTCTTGTGATCCTCTGTCTACTCTTGTGATCCTCTCTCTACTCACGTGATCCTCTCTCTAGTCTTGTGATCCTCTCTCTAGTCCCATGATCCCCTCTTGTGATCCTCTCTTGTGAACCTCTCTTGTGAACCCCTCTCGTGATCCTCTCTTGTGAGCCTCTCGTGATTCTCTTGTGATCCTCTCTTGTGAGCCTCTCATGATTCTCTTGTGACCCACTCTGTCTTGTGATCTTCTTGTCTTCTTATCCTCTCTCGTGTGATTCTCTTGTGATCCTCTCGTGATCCTGCGTCTAGTCTCTCTTGTTTTGTGATCCTCTCTCTTATCTTGTGATCCTTTCTCTTGTGATCCTCTCTCTAGCCTTGTCTTTTCGTTTTTTAAATTAATATCCCGAAATTTTCATAAATTTTTGGCCTATTCGAAATCTCTTTCGCTTTCTCTTTGTCATCTCTCTCTCTCTCTCTCTGTGTCTCTCTCAGTTCTTCATCAACATCATGTTTCAGATACTGCTGCTACTGGCAGGGTCACTGTCCTACATGGTGGCGGGGATGTTTGTTGCGTGGCCCAACGTCTTCATTGCTCACATCATCCAAAACAACTCCACCATTTTCAACACACAACTACACCTCACTGACTCCGAGACAGATATGTTGGGTGAGTCTCTAACTGACCTCTTAAGACTGCCAGGTGTGTAGAGCTAGAGATTAGCGGCACTGCAATCGTGACCTGATTTGACTTCTATCATTGTTAGTCATGTGTAATAGCATTATAAACATGTAATCGCGGGCACGTTCGTGCCCTTGTGAGAGTTTTGACGCTGATGACAGCGTACAGCGAATGAGGGTGCGCCAAGTCCGTATACTTGCATCGTTTTCCAGCGTAAATAAAATGGTTATGTAATGGCTTCCTAAAGAAACCATCGACATGGGACCAGGTTTGTTCCACTCGACGAATTTTTTGCGATTTTTCCACCAAGTTTGATGAAATACGATTGTGACGTTTTGGCTGCCCAGAGCAGACACACACACACACACACACACACACACACACACACACAAACAGACACACGCCTACTCCTATAGTATATTAGATAACATGTAAACTGATTTACAAGTAGATGAGTTACAGGTAGCAGGCACTGTGGGCTGAGTTACAGGTAGCAGGCACTGTTGGCTGAGTTACAGTTAGCTGGCACAGTGGGCTGAGTTATTGTTAATTGGCACTTTGGGCTGAGTTACTGTTAGCTGGCACTGTGGGCTGAGTTACAATTAGCTGGCACTGTGGGCTGAGTTACTGTTAATTGGCACTGTGGGCTGAGTTATAGGTAGCTGGCACTGTGGGCTGAGTTACAGGTAGCTGGCAATGTGAGCTGAGTTACAGTTAGCAGGCACTGTGGGCTGAGTTAAAGGTAGCTGGCACTATGGGCTGAGTTACAGGTAGCTGTCACTGTGAGCTGAGTTACAGGTAGCTGGCACTGTGGACTGAGTTACAGTTAGCTGACACTGTGGGCTGAGTTATAGTTAGCTGGCACTATGGGCTGAGTTATAGGTAGCTGGCACTGTGGGCTGAGTTACAGGTAGCTGGCACTGTGAGCTGAGTTACAGTTAGCTGGCACTGTGGGCTAAGTTACAGTTAGCTGGCACTGTGGGCTGAGTTACAGGTAGCTGTCACTGTGAGCTGAGTTACAGGTAGCTGGCACTGTGGACTGAGTTACAGTTAGCTGACACTGTGGGCTGAGTTATAGTTAGCTGGCACTATGGGCTGAGTTATAGGTAGCTGGCACTGTGGGCTGAGTTACAGGTAGCTGGCACTGTGAGCTGAGTTACAGTTAGCTGGCACTGTGGGCTAAGTTACAGTTAGCTGGCACTGTGGGCTGAGTTACAGGTAGCTGGCACTGTGGGATGAGTTACAGGTAGCTGGCACTATGGGCTGGGTACAGGTAGCTAACTTTGTGGGCTGAGTTACAGGTAGCTGGCACTGTGGGCTGAGTTATAGGTAGCTAGCACTGTGAGCTGATTTACAGGTAGCTGGCACTGTGGGCACAGTTACAGGTAGCTGGCACTGTGGGCTGAGTTACATGTAGCTGGCACTGTGAGCTGATTTACAGGTAACTGGCACAGTGGGTTGAGTTACAGGTAAATTGCACTGTCGGCTGAGTTACAGGTAGCTGGCACTGTGGCCTGAGTTACAGGTAGCTGGCACTGTGGGCTGAGTTACAGGTAGCTGGCACTGTGAGCTGAGTTACAGTTAGCTGGCACATAGGCTGGTGCAGTAGCTGGCTTTTTGTGGAGCTGAGGTTATGGTTAGCTGGCACTGTGGGCTGAGTTACAGGTAGCTGGCACTGTGGGCTGAGTTACAGGTAGCTGGCACTGTGGGCTGAGTTACAGGTAGCTAGCACTGTGAGCTGAGTTACAGTTAGCCGGCACTGTGGGCTGAATTACAGTTAGCTGGCACTATGGGCTGAGTTATAGTTAGCTGGCACTGTGGTCTGAGTTACAGGTAGCTGGCACTGTGGGCTGAGTTACAGGTAGCTGGCACTGTGAGCTGATTTACAGGTAGCTGGCGCTGTGGGCTGAAGTTACAGTTAGCTGGCACTGTGGGCTGAGTTACAGGTAACTGGCACTGTGGGCTGAGGATACAGTTAGCTGGCACTGTGGGCTGAGGTTACAGTTAGATGGCAACGAAAACCTATAGTCTCTTCAGGAATAAAGTTGGGACCAAAAACTACCGTTCACGGAAACTTATTTCTCTATAAGGATTTATATTAATGGACACAAGTTTCTGCATCTTTTTCTATAGACGTCAGGCAAATAGGACTTAAAGGCTTAGGATGAATCAAAGAAAAAAAGTTTTCAGAAATGTAATTTTGTGCAGATCATCAAACAAGGAATCGATTGAGAAATACTATTGGATACTGTACTTTGCATGTCAGGAAGCATGATCTTCTTGGGGTCACTGCCGGGGTTTCTGTTGGCGGGGTGGCTGCTGGACACAATAGGTCGACGTTGGTCTGTACTGGTGACTGCGCTGCCCGGTGCCCTCGGCAGTTTATTAATCGGCTTCTCCCTCAACCCGCCCATGCTGCTGGTTGGCAGGTGAGTAATGATCTCTTATATCTACAGGTAATATACTGGCCCGCAAAAACTGCAGAACTTCAAACATTTATGAATTGACAGAAGGCGGCACAAGGTGAGATGTTAGCTGCGTTATCAGCTCTATGAAAACCTTCTCTCTCCTCCTCTGGTGTCTCATGCCACTGACTCAGGCTTCCCAAACAGTTGATGACCAAACTTTGATTATTCTTAATATCACAGAATCTTGCTCCTGAAAGTCTTATAACTTAATCCTTGGCACTAGGCACATAGGCATTGTGACTCTCCAAGTTTTGTCTTGATATCATTAAACGAGTTCATCTTTTAGGTCAGCATCAGGTATGTGGTCATAATACTGCACTGTACTAATACTGCAGCACATTATCTCACTGCGAATGACCGTTGTTTCTATAATCATACATAAATTAATAATTTTAAGGTTCTAAGCAAACTCCTTTTCATAGTTTCTTATTTCAGATTCTTAGAAGGCATCACATTCGGTATGTTGGGAGTAGCAGTGAGGACATATGCATCAGAGATAGTGGACACAACCATCCGGGGCACAGCATCGGTCATGTACAACGTCGTGATGAATATGGGTAGTGTCGCAATCATTGGTTTGGGCATCAAGTTGAGTTGGTACTATGTTGTGTTCGTCAGTTTTGCCGTCGCACTACTACACTGCTTTCTCGTAGCTGTGTTTCTTGTTGAGAGTCCCACTTACTTGGCCGTAAAGAACAGAGAAGCTGAAGCCACCGTCATCCTCCGCCGCCTCAGAGGTCCCAACGCGGATATTAAGGAGGAGTTGAGAATTCTGAAGATGATGAACCAGCGAGGAGATGGAACATCAGGATGGGGAGCTCTGATCAAGCGGGACGTCATAAAGAATATCCTGGTGATGTTTGGTCTCTCCATGATGTGCAACTTCAGTGGTGTTCAGGTCATGAAGATGAACACAGTGAGAATACTGGTTACTGCTGGCCTAGGGTTCGATGAAACTGTCAGCACAATCATGTTCAACTTGCTATTGATAGCAGGCAACGTGACCATAATGTATCTGTTGGACCGTATAGGACGACGCCGCTGCTTGGTGCTCTCATTGTTGTTACTCACGATTGCTAACTCCTGCTTTGGCACCTACGTGTTCCTCACTGACTCGGGAGGGTCGCCTGCCATGATGGAGGTGGCTCTGGGAACACCTCTAGAAGTCAACTCAACTATGATATACCAGAGTGATGCTGGGTGAGTTGCCCACGTTCTTTAGTATGTTTCATGGTGTAGCTTGAAAGGCATGAATAGGGAAAGTTCTTAAACATGTGGCTCATGATGATCCATGTCTCCAGGTCAGCGTCTTGGTCGTGGGTGCCGCTGATGTGTGTTCTGATGATCGCCTTCGGCCAGAGTTTGGGCGCTGGGCCCATCCCTTATATTTTGACTCCTGAGTACTTCCCTACTGTCATCAGGTCACAGGTCAGTGCTGGTCCTAAAGATATTTGTTATAAGTTAATTATTGTTTAAAGATAGTTTTTCTCACGCCAATGATTAGTTTAAAGTAGCGGCAGTCTCACATCAGTTATGGTTTAAAAACTTTTCTCTCACGTCAGACACAGTCCCAAAACAGTGACTGTCTCACTTTAAGTTGGTCGCCGGTCAGGTCCTTAAATTATAACTCTATCAACAATAAGGATGAGATCAATATTTACCTTCAGTCTCACAGAGAAATGGAAGATATGTTTCTTTCTTCATTATGAATAAAACTCGTTTTATGCCCAACCGGGAATTCTATAACTAAAGTTTGTTCTTGTGTTTTTCATTGTGAATTGAACTAATATGACCTTTATTATTGTGGCTAACCTAACCTTTCCTGATCCTTATTTAACTGGTGGAGGAGGAACAAGTGATCATCTTATTCTCTTACAGGCTACAAGTGTGTGCCTCCTGCTAGGCGGCCTGCAGAATGTTGCTGCCCTACAGTTGTACAGCCCCATGCAGGCTAGTCTGACCCAAGCTGGCCTTTACTGGACATACGGCTTAGTGGCAGCTGTAGGAATACCTTACTCTCTCTTGTTCGTGAAGGAGACAGCTGGTAGGAGGGTTGGCTAATAAAGACAATAACATTGCATATAGCGGGCTGTCTGACCCTTACAATATATACAGTCTGATCAATGATCTGTGTAGTTATTAAGACAGAGGCAGTCTGGTTACTAAATGATGCCCAGTCTGGTCAATCACCCGTGTTATCAATCACAAGGAATGTAAACAAATCACCGTTCCATTCCTGTGTTAAAGTCAATGATTATTATTTTGTATGTTAAAGGAAGTGTGGTTATATTAGTGTCATAATTTAGAGTATTGTTTACCCTAAAATATAATTTTCTATTATGGTATGTTTTTACTTCCCCACAAATAGGTGATCATAGGTCATATTATATTATTATTATATTTAAGAGTACGTCTGCATGTGTTGGATTTTATTGTAATAGGATTAACTACTCGAACAATTATAATTAAGTTGTTTTAGTTCTATACTTGATATTGAGGACGCTGGAATTGAAGCGGCAAAAACAGGTGTATCGTTGTGAGATAATATTTGGAATTCCAAGATTTAACAACGGCCATTCCTTACCCCTTGACACTACACTACACAGTACATGCCTCCTTACCCCATGAAACTACACTATACAGTACATGCGTCCTTACCCCATGACACTACACTACTAAGTCCATGCTTCCTTCCCCATTGACACTACACTACACAGTAAATGCCTCCTTACCCCATGACACTACACTATACAGTACATGCCTCCTTACCCCTTGACACTACACTACACTATACAGTACAGTACATGCCTCCTTACCCCTTGACCCTACAGTACACTATACAGTACATGCCTCCTTACCCCTTGACACTACACTACACTATACAGTACATGCCTCCTTATCCATGACACTACACTATACAGTTCATGCCTCCTTACCCCCATGACACATTGCTACACTACACTACACAGTACATGCCTCCTTACCCCTTGACACTACACTACTATACAGCACATGTCTCTTACCCTTGACCCTACACTACGCACATACAGTACCTTGCCTCCTTACCCCTTGACCACTACACTACACTATACAGCACATGTCTCTTACCCTTGACCCTACACTACACTATACAATGCATGCCTCCTTACCCATGACGTACACTATACAATACATGGCTCTTACCCCTGTACACACACTACACTATACAATACATACCTCATATCATGACACACACTATAGGTATGCCTCCTTACCCCATGACACTACACTAAACTACACAGTACATGCCTCCTTGCTTACCCTTGACACTACACTGCAGCACATGCCTCATACCCCTTGACCCTACACACTACACTATACAGTACATACTCCTTCCCTCTTGACGCTACACTACACTACTTACAGTATTCATGCCTCCTGATCTCATGACACTACACTATACAATACATGCCTCCTTACCCCTTGACCTTTACACTACACTACACTGTACAGTAAATCCCTCCTTACCCCCATGACCTACTACACTGTATATGCCTTCTTACCCCTTGACACTACACACCACTATACAGTACATGCCTCCTTACCCCATGCCACTACACTACACTACACAGTACATGCCTCCTTACCCCATGACACTACACTACACAGTACATTCCTCCTTGCCTTTGACACTACACTATACAGTACATGCCTCCTTTTCCCCTTGACACTACACAGTGTGCCTCACCCTTGACATACACTATTCAGTGCATGCCTCCTTACCCCATGACACTACACTATAAAATACATGCCTCCTTACCCTATGACACTACACTACACAGTACATACCTCCTTACCCCTTGACACTACACAACACTATACTATATAGTACATGCTTCCTTACCCCGTGACACTACACTACACTACACAGTACCTGCCTCCTTACCCCTTGACACTACACTATACAGTACATGCCTCCTTACCCTATGACACTACACTACACAGTACATACCTCCTTACCCCTTGACACTACACAACACTATACTATATAGTACATGCTTCCTTACCCCGTGACACTACACTACACTACACAGTACCTGCCTCCTTACCCCTTGACACTACACTATACAGTACATGCCTCCTTACCCTATGACACTACACTACACTATACAGTACATGCCTCCTTACCCTATGACACTACACTACACTATACAGTACATGCCTCCTTACCCCATGACACTACACTACACTACACAGTACATGCCTCCTTACCCCATGACACTACACAGTACACTATACAGTACATGCCTCCTTACCCCTTGACACTACACTATACAGTACATGCCTCCTTACCCTATGACACTACACTACACAGTACATGCCAATTGACGGAGATGATGGGGTATTTTGGTCCCATAAACAAGGTCCATACAACACTACTGACACAGTAAATCGTGTGTAACAACTGGTAGTGAGGTACACGACATTAATAGACTGAAATACCTCCCCCAACTCTTGGTGTGTCTTATAGCCATTGAGTTGAAGACAAGTGAACCAGAATATCCAAGGCTCGACTAAGTGTGCCTTACAACTTAAAGGAAATCAAAGCAACTCAAGCATCAAGCTTGAAGTTATGCCTTACTAAACGTGGTTTGATAGGAAAGGTTGGTTAAAAAAAAGTCACTGATTCCATCATGATAATATATGTGTGTTTAGTGGCGACATAAACTTGACAAAAACGTCAACAGGAGAGAGAAGAAAAACTTAACCTGTTTGCATGGAGATTAATTGAACAACATATTCAGTAATTTTTTATTCTAGCAAAAAGTTCTAGTATTACAAGATCACCTTTAAGGCTGACTTTCTCCGCCAGTGTTGTGACGCCACCGAGTGTGAGCTCTTTCAAGACCAGACTTGACCAACAAAGATGTATGTAGATACACACCGGCTCCTGAATGTACCTGAACCCGCTCCAGTGTTGGTCAAGTCTTGTCTTGAAAGAGCTCACACTCGGTGCCGTCACAACACTCTCTGGTAGATTGTTCCAAGAGTTTACAACCCTCACTTCGAAAAAGTTTGCCCTCACAGTTTTCTGGACTTGCGGCTTCTTCAATCTTGAGCTGTGACCCCTTGTAGGGCGAGCGTCCGCCAGCTCCAAGTAAGGACACTCGACCGAGTAGTGCCCCCTGAGATGCTTATACACCTCAACTAGGTCACCCCTTACCCGACTATAGTATAAGCTAGGCATGTTCAGGCGCTCCAATCTCTCAGGGTAGCTGAGGTGCTGAAGGGCAGGCACCAGTCTGGTGGCCCTCCTTTGAACATTTTCAACCAACTGACAGTCCCTAGCATGTCTCGGTGACCAGACGGCGTGACAGTACTTCAGCTGGGGAAGCACTTCACTCTTGAAGATCGTTACGAAGGACGGACCGTCTAGATATCTGAACGACCTTCTTATAAGACCCAATAATTTATTTGCCTGGTTTACCTTCTTCTCGCAATGGCCCGAGAACTTCAGCTCATTGTCAACATCCACACCTAGGTCCTTCTCACATTCAGTCTCAACTAGTGCAGTTTCTTCATCCCGTTGGGACATATGATACGCCTCCTTACTGTTGGTACGCCCCAGGTGCATCCTCTTACACTTCGTGACATTGAATTTCAGTAGCCATTTCTTCGACCATTCCTGGAGCCCACAGAGGTCCTGAAGCTCTTCACAGTCCGCTTGGTTCTCAATTTCCCGAAATAACTTGGCGTCATCGGCAAACATTTGTATGGAGGAGTGTACAACGTTAGGCATGTCATTTATGAAACAAACAAACAATAGAGGGCCCAATACACTACCCTGTGGTACCCCACTTGTGGCAGGTACAGATAACGATTTCGTGCCATTAATCACCACACACTGCTTGCCGTCATGTAGAAAGTCTTCTATCCACGCTAGGACATTTCCCCGAATTCCGTACCCTTCCAGTTTGATTTTCAGCTTTTCGTGGGGTACGCTGTTTAAAGCCTTGGCAAAATCTAGGTAAATATTGTCGATATTACCACCCCGATCCAGAATATGGGTCCAAATATCCAATACCTTGAGCAATTGTGTTAAGCAGGAGCGCCCCGGCCTAAAACCGTGTTGGCAATCCTTTACAAGGTTGTTTCGTATTAGATGTTCCATTGCGGCATCTCTGATAATACTCTCAAGTACTTTACATATTATGCTGGTCAGGCTCACCGGTCTATAGTTGTTCGCGGAGTGCCGAACGCCCTTCTTGAAGATAGGACTCGCATAACCCACTTTCCATTCACTGGGGACCATTTGCTCATCCAGGCATTTACAAAACAGGATCTTCAGGGGCTCTGCAAACTCGTTGCACAACTCTCTTCTGCTCGAATTTCATGTTACTACGCATTTCCTTCATATATCCCTTCCACTATTTAGCGTAAAGTAACGTCAGAGAAGAAGGTTTAGAGCTCGATATAAAGGTGTAACCATGTAAAATAACAAACAAAAGCCTTCGTACAAAAGAGAAAGTAGTAGGTGACAACCATAATACAATAGCTTCCCCAGCCATGTTTACATTTTCTTTAACAAAAAGGATTGAAAACTTTAGCTAGATATTCCCTCCCAAATTGGGAGGATTGTATTGGGAGTCCCAATACAATCCTTCAATAAATGCTTTGTTTGAAACATCAGTCATACGAAATACGCGTGGAACATAATATTTATTGATATCTTCATAATCTTGTACTGTATTTAATGGGCATAAATCAAGAGCACCTTTGTTGACATTCAGTGAGGCTGGGAGCTTTTCAAACTATCAATACAGCACGGTTACATTATAGAATTTGTCGTTAATAAAATGAACCAAACTAACGTAACCTAACCTATCTAAACTTGAGCTTCACCTGTATTGAATACAGTATTATTATACACATAGGTTAAGTTGGGTTGTAAGTTATTAGTCTGGTACATTTTACAAACGACACCAAGTGGTGGGGACTTGGATGAATAAACGAAAACAAAATTAAACAAAAATTATATGACTCATGTAAATTTAATCACGTCCACAGTACATTTATATTGTACTTGACTAAAGATTGAATAGTTTAGCACTGTGTCATAAAATAATGTCTACCTCGTCTGTGGGTGCCAACCACCATGTCATCTTGTGAATGCCAGGAGGAACAAGAGTATATTATACACTTCTCTCACCCTGCTGCAAGAATTGTAATTTTCGGTGGACATATCACCTCTTTTGATCTCGGTCTTAATACTGAACGAACCTTTCTGTTGAATCTGTACCAACAAGCCATTCTGGCGAAGAAAAAAAGTTCTCACTATTTTCGTGATCCAGATTAAGTGG